GGATGAGTACTCTGAGAAAGTACTCTGCGGAAAGTACTCTGAGATGAATACCTTGCTGAAGGTACTGGGAGTCCCTCCCTCTGCTGTTTGTCCTGACAGTGATTCGGTCCAACCGCAGTGAGCGGTCATTGGGCGGAGGACAACTTTGGTTTGTAACTCACATTTAGGGGAGTATAAAATTAGAAACATACATATTGTTAAGTCTGTATTTGGCTACAGCCTCTGCCCTGATGTCACACACCGTCTGTCAATGCAGTTATGTTTTGCCCAATTGGATTGATTGACAGGCTGCACAATGCGAAGAGGGGGAAGTGGGCGTTTCTTGTGTTCTAATGTTTGTTTTTCAGATGAAAGATAAACTGCACCTGCTTCAGGGATGACAGTAGTATGAATTAAGGAAATGAGCCTCTACTTTGGCACCAAAGCCCACAATACGAATGGAGGACGATCCGGGAGGAACAACTGGAGAAGGATTGGAACAGTAATCTACACACACACACAGACGCATGTTTTACACTTGGCCCACGACCAAGAGAGGGAGTATGGTAATGTTATTGTCATAGGTGGTCATGGTCCTTAACCTTCTAAATCATTAGAAAGAAGTGTAAAACATATATTTACAAGACCAAATAAATAATGGAAAGGGCAGCCTAAAAAGCAAAATGGGAAAATTATTAAGTAATTTTTGGAGTTGCCAAAATGAAATAAAATTCTTTATTTGTCCCATAGGGGGTCATTCTAAATTTAGTGTTGTGCAAATTCAAAAGGAGAAATAATAGCGCTTATAACATCAAGCAGATCTACTCTTTAAGATAATAGATCATATAATAATAATAATAATAGAATAGAATGAAATAGTCTGGAGCTATAATGTCATTGGATTCAAGGAGCTATAGGTTGAAGGGTCGCTAAGAAGAGGTGTCAGAATAAACAATAGTAATAATAGTTAAACTAGTGAATAACCATCCATCCATCCATTTTCTTCCCCTTAATCCATTTTTGGGTCGGGGGGGGTGGCAGTCAGAGCTGCACCCAGTACACAGAGCACCAGCCCCTCACTGATCCTCCTGCAGGTGGTGAGTCCACAGGAGTGAATAATCAAAATAGTTCTATTGTGGAAATAAGTATCAATAAGGTCAAATTGTTCTAATAATTAGAGTAAAAAGGAATCAAATGGAGTCAGATTTTAGATGTTTCTGTTTTCCACATCTGTAGGATCTCGTGCAGATGTGTTTATAGAGAGTAGTATTAAAATGCAGACATAGAACGACAGGTTTTAACAAAATTTTAAATCTAAAAATAGCTCAAATATAACATTGCTCTTGACGCAGCCTCTGAGCTGCTCCATTGGAGAACAGGTTAAATGTTATTGTTTATTACAAACAGCTGATGTATTCACACATATTAAGTTTGGGACAACTCTTTAAACAGTTATAAGCAGCGGACAGAAGCCATGAATGGGCTTTTGTTTATTAAATAACTAATTTCATAGCCATATAATCGTAGAGGACATTTTTAAAATAGTTCTCTTCCTCCCGCTCCCTTTCAGGCAAATTGAATAGATTCATGTCTTTAATATTGGAGAACGACTGTGTTGTTTTTGGAATTGTCTGAAATACAATACATAAAATAGTGATTTGCAGAACAAGAACCAGCCAATGAGAAATCATCTATTGCCAATGCTATTGCTACAACTAGAACCAGTGTAGTTTTGATTAATGAGATTGATTAATGAGATAGATTAATGAGATAGATTAGAACCAACACAGATTTAAAAGCATTTTAATGTATTTGGGTATAGCACAGAAGTAGATATTTGGGTATTTTTGAGAATTTTAAGAGCTGTCGATTTGTCAGCAATAGATTAGAGAATCAAATACCGTTGTAAAGGGACTGACCCCAAAAACCTGCTAAAATAGATTAGCTCTTGTAAGGATAATACCAATTTGATTAACGATGTACATTCATCCCAAACTGTCTTGAGAGGAGGAAGTGACAGCACTTCCTGGTTCAACAAATGTGTTTGGAAAAATGAGCAAAGCCCCACAAAATGGGGCAAAGCCACTGTTAATGAAAGCAAAACCATAGTATAGAGGGATTTATTAGATAAAAACATATGTTTCGAATGTGGTTGTGTGTTGTTTGTTTTCTCTGTATTGACTCTTCACAGATATCGAGCCTAAAGCACAAGTATTGATGATGAACGAGGAGGTGGATGTGACCTATTGTAAAGATAGGTCAAAAGAGGGACTGACGAATATTCACAAAATGCTGCACATCAGACAAAAGAATATGCACTCAGGAATCATAAAGATGACCAGCTTACAAACCAGACAATTATTGACTCCAAGAATAAACAAATGTTCTCTCCCACTCTCGAGGAGGGCAAAAGTCCAACACAATCAGGCGCCCAGTGATGGGGGCCATTGTTTGCTCAGGCTGATATGGAGGACCAAGACCTGGACCAGGGTCCAGACCGGAGACCAAACCAGAGACCAGTTTCAGACCATGTGACGTCATCGGACATGTTGATAAAACCGGGGGTAGGACAGTCTGGGGAAAAAGAGCAGGGATAGAGACAGAGAACATGGCAGAGCGCCTGCATGTTCTCTGCACATTTTCAGGCCTGGAGGGAAAGGTTTTAGGATGGCATAGCATAGGGTTAGTTTTAGAGAATTAATGGCTCCAAGGGTTTTGTATCGATATTTAATTGTAAAGAGAATTAAATGTTCTATTTTTAACTCCTGCATTCTTGGCCTTATTTCTGTATCGAATTCTGAACACGTCAGTCAAATTTTTTTTGGCGACAATTCAGATATGTCACCTAACAACTGACCAATCAGATTCCTTCCATCCGCAAAGCCTCCTGATTGGCTCTTTGCTAAGTCGTTGCTATCCCTGAAGTTGGCTCCAAAATTATAAAGCCTGTTTGAGTTTAACTTTAATCTGCTTCTTTCGCAATAAGGCAAACTTTATGAGCAACATGCATATTCAAATAATGTTCAATAAAAAGTGCAATTTACCAGCGTAATTACAGTCACAATATAAAAGATACAATATATTCAACATTTTGCTGTAGTTTTGGCCTCTGTCCTCAGTTCTCCTCAGCCCAAAGAGTCAAATAATAGAAATTGAAGCGAAAAAAAAACAGCATAATTTGGTCTGATTTGTTCATATTTGATCCTTTCTACTGGGAAAAAACACACATCAACAATTATACATGTATCTTTTTCACCATATTTTACAAAATATATTGTAAAAAAGTTCCATCAAGTCAACATAATTACTATCCCACCATTTAATTTGACCCATCAGCAGCCGCTTGAATGATCAGAGGCTAATGACTAATGGAGGTTGTTTGAGGACGTGTTTCTTCTAATGTCCCCACAAAAAAACTCTTCTTTTTGTTCTACAGCTGCAGACTGAGCCATTAAAGTATCAGCAGAGGCAACTGATTAATATAGTGCCTGTGTCGGAGTAAGTTGATTCATTGAAGTAAATGATTTGATGAGAGGTCAGACCACAAATCTGCCCGGACTAATGTGAAGCTAATGGCAAATGACAACAGGAGCAGGCTGAGCTCAAGACACTGAGACAAGGGCACGGAGAAGTCACCAAAGTTTGAGATTTAGGACAAGATTTAAGCTTTTATGTTCCAGTCAAAACCACCTTAATCATTTAAATCCAGCTGCTGCTTTGATGGAAATGTGAAAATGAAATATCAAAGACTCCTTATTAAGTTGGGAGGATATGAAGAAGAAGAAGAAGAAGAAGATCCTGGACCTCTGCATAACCTCCAATTAAAAGTTCACAATCAAAATCAAAATGCGTTGTATGAATTTGTGGAGACTAGAAGTTCACAAAGCAGGGGCCCTTGACTGTGAGATATACCAGTTCTTCACCCTCCAGGCCAAATTAACCCTCTAGGCGCCACGGTTGACTCAAGTGGACAATATGTGATACTGTTTAAAACGAGTGATTGTGTCAAAACTCCCTGCCACACAATAATTTCCAGGACTTTTAGTGTGGTACAATGTGAGTTCTGTTTGTGTGTTCATGTCCTAGTGATTTGTGTCAAAAAATATATACATGTTCTTTATGAAAATCCAAGATGGCCGCCTTCATATGAAGTCCTAATATGCAAATTAGATGGATACATTTAATTCCTACATAAACTTTGGGCCATCCTTTTAATCTCTCTAATTTACGTAAAGCCTCTATCTCTTATCACGTGTAAGTCATTGAAAAATTAAGATGTCAAAATTGAGCCTCATAGGAAAAAAGTTCTAGCACCTAAAGAGTTCGTGTGAGGGCGCGTTCGCACTGGGTCTGGTTTTGGTCTGGTCTTCAACTGGTCCGAGTCAGGTTCACTCATTGTATCTTTGAATGGCCAACAATAATGCCCAATATTTTTGTCTTTGAGCCTCTTCACGTGGAAGCATCCTCAGACCTGAATAATCAATACCACGGTGCTGATGGTTTAAATGGTTTGAATATTGCTCATACACGTCTCTATAAATTCTACTGAACTATCTGTCCATGATCTGACTTAAACCAATAATGATTCCGACACTAAAACTTAAAACCTATTTGGAAAAGTACCGAAAATAAAAACATTCTTACTTTTTTATGATTAGTTTTGGTAATATCAAGGGGAATATGATAATTTTGTGTTGATAATTCCATGATAAAATGTCAATCGTTTCTTATTTTCATTGTTGAAACTTGAATTGGGGAGAAAGGCTGATTTTTTTGGTTGGCAACATTACATTTTAGGGTTTTTAGTTTGGTGGCCCGGAAAATAATTGATATTTGCACCCTCCGCCCACGGGAGAACTGGGACATGGGTCAGGAACCGGACGTCCCAGGACAGACGTGGGGCCTGGGCTGTCTGCCCACAGGAGCGGAGGACATGGATCAGAACAAGCTCATCAGGGAAGTGCGGTTGGGAGACCTGTGCTCGTTTATGAACACGTAAGGACAAACAGAGACATGGTCGCCTAGATGTAGGCGAGAGGCCTCGGGCAACTCACAGGGTGAGCCAGCGAGAGAGGGGCACTGGCCTTAAAGCCCTGACGCAGAGGAATCCAGGACGCAAACTTTGCGCTGATGAGCCTGGAGTAGCAGTACTGGTGAAGGTGATGGTATCGGCGCCGCGGCCCCTGCACAACTGAAGTGAACAAGAGGACCTGAAGTGGAGGCGACCATGGTCTGGAGGAGAGCACCACTGTGAGGAAACTACAGCAGGTAAAACCCTGTCTTACAGTGACGTTCGTAAAAGATCTGCATAAGATTTTGATGTGGTGCACTCGTTGCAGGACTTGGGTTTTAATATATGAATGTGCAGGGACTGCATCGGGACTGCCCTCCTGCTGGGACTGAGGAGTACAGGGACTGCCCTCCTGCTGGGACTGAGGAGCACAGGGACTGCCCTCCTGCTGGGACTGAGGAGTACAGGGACTGCCCTCCTGCTGGGACTGAGGAGCACAGGGACTGCCCTCCTGCTGGGACTGAGGAGTACAGGGACTGCCCTCCTGCTGAAACTGAGGAGCACAGGGACTGCCCTCCTGCTGGAACTGAGGAGCACAGGGACTGCCCTCCTGCTGGGATTGAAGAGCACAGGGACTGCCCTCCTGCTGAAACTGAGGAACACAGGGACTGCCCTCCTGCTGAAACTGAGGAAGACAGGGACTGCCCTCCTGCTGAAACTGAGGAAGACAGGGACTGCCCTCCTGCTGAAACTGAGGAGCACAGGGACTGCCCTCCTGCTGAAACTGAGGAAGACAGGGACTGCCCTCCTGCTGAAACTGAGGAGCACAGGGACTGCCCTCCTGCTGAAACTGAGGAGCACAGGGACTGCCCTCCTGCTGGAACTGAGGAGCACAGGGACTGCCCTCCTGCTGGGATTGAAGAGCACAGGGACTGCCCTCCTGCTGAAACTGATCGATCAGCCTTTTCATTTGGTCTTTCAATTATTCAGCCATTTGGTTGATGTTGTTTCTTGATGTAACAGTTGGCTCAATGCTCTCAGAAACTTCACATGAGGCAAGACAAGTTTATAAGTATAGCACAGTTCATACACAAGGCGAATCAAAGTGCTGAACAAAACAAGATAGAAACAACCAGGTATAAAAATTATGAATAATCGGCGTACTTTAAAAAGAAGTTGTATGCACAGCTAAACAGAACTGTTTTTAACCTGGATTTGAACATTGTCAGAGAAGAAGCCTGTCTCACATTTCCAGGAAGGCTGTTCCAGATTTTAGTTGCATAAATCTGAAATGCTTTAGTTCTGACTCTATAGGTACCAGCAGGAGGCCAGTCCCTGTGCTCCTCGGAGTCCAACTTGGTTCATATGGCACTAAATTGTCTCTGATATGCTTTGGTTCGAGGCCATAGAGAGACTTAATAATAATTTTCACATTATGATAAAGAAATACTTAGAGGACAACACAAATACCATAAATACTTTTGTGTTATTGAGTCTCTTCTTCACATTTCCAGCCCAAAACAAACAGCAGACTGTGGATCCTATTTTCCGTTTTCATCCAGACGCTACGACAAACCAATATGTCAAGCCACTATTGGACTTTATTAGAAAATGGCCCTCTGTCGGGAAGCCTGCTGGACTCTATAACACAATGGCTGTGATCGATGACTGATGTATGTCACATTGATACCTACATTGCTGGTGTATGTAAAGCTGTCTACTCACTCACTGTTTCATGCATCACTTAATACTTAATAAATCATTATTTTGTGCCAGTTTTAGCTCCTGGATTGTAGATGTTGTCTCATGGAAAGGTGTAGAGCTAGCAGCAACAAACACACACATTCTCACAACATTGAACACTACAACAATTTAGAAGACAGTTCAGTTGAAACAGACAAAGATAAGCACCAAAAGAAGTTTAGGAAAAATTCTGGATGCCTTGTCATTGGAAAGAAATTGTGATTATTAGAGAAATTTTGACTTTTGTGTTAATATTTGTTTTGTTTTGCTTCATTTTTGTATGTGTTTTCTGTTGTGTCTTTCGTTCGTCCTTTTATGTCATTGAATTGTGTTTTTTGTTATTTTTCTGTGTCCTTATTTTTATTTATTTTTGTTTTCATTATCCTTAAAAAATAAATAGAATGCCAATTGCAATTTATATGGTACTTACACTTTTACAATGATGTGTATTGTGCTTCCCTCTACACTCCCCTCCTATTTTCCCTAAATTAATGTAAAAATTATATGTTAAAAGATTCAATTAATCTGAGCCTAAGAACCCTGTACAAATGCATGGCTGCACACTTTGTAAAGCTGAGGCCCCGTAGTTTTAGCCTCTGATGACCTGTGCACTATATATATATATATATATATATATATATATATATATATATATATATATATATATATACAAATTGTCCACTCACCTTTGGCCCTCCGCGGGCGGTTATCCCTCTCTAAGCTCGGGTCCTCTACCAGAGGCCAGGGAGCTTGAGGGTTCTGCGCAGTATCTTTGCTGTTCCTAGCACTGCACATTTCTGGACCGAGATGTCCGAGGTTGTTCCGGGGATCCGCTGTAACCACTCATCTAGCTTCGGGGTCACTGCCCCGAGTGCACCGATCACCACGGGCACTACTGTCACCTTTACCCTCCAGGCCCTCTCCAGCTCCTCTCTGAGACCTTGGTATTTCTCAAGCTTTTCATGTTCTTTTTTCCGGATGTTACCATCGCTTGGAATTGCCACGTCCACCACCACGGCTGTCCTCTGCCCTTTGTCTACCACCACGATGTCAGGTTGGTTTGCCATTACCATTCGGTCGGTCTGTATCTGGAAGTCCCACAGGATCTTCGCACGCTCATTCTCCACCACCTTTAGAGGAGTTTCCCACTTAGACCTTGGGGTTTTCAGCCCATACTCTCCACAGATGTTTCTGTACACTATGCCAGCCACTTGGTTATGGCGTTCCATGTAGGCCTTCCCTGCCAGCATCTTGCACCCTGCAGTTATGTGTTGGATCGTCTCAGGTGCCTCTTTGCACAACCGACACCTTGGGTCTTGTCTGGTGTGGTATATCTGGGCCTCTATCGCTCTGGTGCTCAGGGCCTGTTCCTGTGCAGCCATGATGAGTGCCTCTGTGCTGTCCTGTAGGCCAGCCCTTTCTAGCCATTGGTAGGACTTCTTGAGATCAGCCACTTCTGTTATGCTCCGGTGGTACATGCCGTGTAGGGGCTTGTTCTCCCATGATGGGCTCTCCTCCAGCACCTCCTCATCTCGCCACTGCCTGAGACATTCACTGAGTACGTCATCCGTTTTGGCCTTCTCCATGATGTAGTTATGGAGTTTGGATGTTTCGTCCTGGACAGTGGCTCTCACACTCACTAGTCCTCGGCCTCCTTCTTTACGGCTTACGTACAGTCTCAGGGTGCTGGATTTGGGATGGAACCCGCCATGCATGGTAAGGAGCTTTCGAGTTTTAACATCCGTGGTCTGAATCTCTTCCTTTGGCCACCTGATTATTCCTGCAGGGTATCTGATCACTGGAGGGCGTAGCTGTTAATTGCCCGGGCCTTGTTCTTGCCATTGAGCCGGCTTCTTAGGACCTGCCTTACTCGCTGGAGGTATTTGGCAGTTGCCGCTTTCCTCGTCACCTGTTCGAGGTTGCCATTTGCCTGTGGTATACCGAGATACTTGTAACTGTCCTCAACGTCTGCTATTGTTCCCTCTGGGAGTGAGATCCCTTCTGTGTGGACTACCTTGCCTCTCCGAGTCACCATCCTGCTACATTTATCGAGCCCGAATGACATCCCGATGTCATGGCTGTAGATCCTGGTTGTTCGGATCAGAGAGTCGATGTCTCTCTCGCTCTTGGCGTACAGCTTGATGTCATCCATGTAGAGGAGGTGACTGATCTTTGCTCCGTTCCTGAGGCGGTATCCATAGCCAGTCTGGTCAATTACTTGGCTTAGAGGGTTGAGGCCTATGCAGAACAGTAGTGGGGACAGAGCATCTCCTTGGTAGATACCACATTTGATGGTCACTTGTGCGAGCGGCTTGCCATTTGCCTCAAGGGTGGTCTTCCACATTCCCATCGAGTTTGCAACGAAGTCCCTTAGAGCCCTGTTGATATTGTACAACTTCAAGCATTCCATGATCCATGTGTGTGGCATTGAGTCGTAGGCTTTCTGGTAATCAATCCAGGCTGTGCACAGGTTGGTGTGTCGTGACCGGCAGTCTTGGGCGACTGTTCTGTCAACCAGGAGCTGGTGTTTGGCTCCTCTGGTGTCCCTACCAATGCCCTTCTGTGCTGTGCTCATGAATTGTTCCATATGCCCACTTATCTTAGCCGCAATGATGCCTGACATGAGCTTCCATGTTGTGGAGAGACAGGTTATTGGCCGGTAGTTGGAGGGGACTGCACCCTTGACAGGGTCCTTCATGATCAGGACCGTTCGCCCTTCGGTTAGCCATTCTCGGTTAGCCATTCTGGGTGAGTCCCATCTCTCAGCAGCTGGTTCATTTGTGCTGCTAGGCGCTCATGGAGTGATGTGAGTGTCCTTAGCCAGTAGGCATGGACCATATCAGGGCCAGGTGCTGTCCAGTTTTTCATACACCTCCTCCCATATGTTCCTCCAGAACTGTTCAGTTTCCAGCCTCGGTGGATCTGCTCCCCTGTTGTTAACCTGCCACTGAGCGTACACCTTCGCAGGTTGTGTTGCGAACAGCCTGTTTACTCTTCTGGCTTCATTCTCTTTAGTGTACCTCTGTAGGCGGCTGGCCAGGGCTTGGAGCCGTTGTTTGGCAGTTTCGAGTGCTTCAGGTATGGTCATCTGGCTGTACTTTCTGGGTACTGGTCTTTTCATTGCACCTCTCTGGGCCTCTGTTAATTGACTCACTTCTCTCCGAGCCGCCTTGATCTTAGCCTCCAACCGTCTTTTCCATGGTGGGTATTGTCCATGGCTCCCATGGTTGCTCTTATAGCCAAGCATCTCTAGGATCACTGCTGCTGAAGTGTATATCAGCTCATTGGTTTCAGTGATTGTGGTGGTAGGTATTGCCCTCACTGCTGCATTCACGCTTTCTATGAGATCCTTAGGTGGTACTTCACACAACCGCTGTAACCGGTGTCTTTGCCCTGTGCCCATTCTAGCCATGATCTTAGCTTTCAGGTCAGTCGCTGCCTCGTTCAGCGTTATCGGTTCCATTGGGGCTATGTACCCAATATCTGGTTGGGGAGTTGCAGTTGGTGGGATCTCCCCTCTGACCTCGGCAACTGTGGCATCATACATGTGTTGTACTACACAGTCAACTGTGACTGTGGGTTTCGAAGTAACCATTCAGCCCACATTCTCTGCATATAACCTCTTTGGCCAGGGTTACTCGAGTAGTAGCATTCCAACAGAGCCCTGTTATCGCATCTCGTCCACTTTCGCCTTGTTCCAGTAGCCCACTTTTCATCAAGGTGCTCTGGTTCCCCAGCACCTGACGCAGACCTTGTTTGGCCAGCTCATTGCTTATTTGTACCTTCATGGTTATGAGTTAGGCAGTAGCATTAAGGGTCTTGCCTAAGGACCCTCACTGGATGTTGGTGTTAATGTGCTCCCGGTGGGATTCGAACCCTGGCCTCCCAGGTCCCAGTCCTGTGCCCTACCAACTGAGCTATCCAGCTGCTGTGTGTGTGTGTGTATATATATGTGTTTCATACCTATTTCATTATAAGTGGAACGCTCTGGAAAGCTCAAACTCCAAAGTCCGCCTTTGGTAACTATAAAGAGGCAATTATAAATCAGTTTTGCGTGTGTCTGAAGCTATAGGCCACACTGACAGACCATTCTCCTTTCACTGAGGCAAATTTAATTGGATATAGGGACCTGTGATATAGTAGCTCTACTTGAATTTGAAATCTTTATTTTGATCATTTCCAAGAGTTTGATGGTTATATTTCATAACCTGACAACAGAAAAACTGGGGCGGCACTGTCATTTCCCAGCAAAAAGGTCCTGGGTTCGAATCCTGGTCGGAACAGGGTCTTTCTGAGTGGAGTTTGCATGTTCTCCCCGTGACTGCGTAAGTTTCCTCCACGTGCTCCGGTTTCCTCTAACACTAAAAACATGTACTATAAGTAAAATCCTGACCAAGCCGAGCATCAATATCTGGAGATGGGAGTTTGGACATGCCTGCCTTAGTGGCATCAGGGTGGGTCAAATGCAGAAGATGAATTGCCCTACAGGGATTAATAAAGTGCACCTTTATATTACCACAATCATAAGATTAATTTGTTACAAAAGGTAAAAAAGATGAATGGAAGCCGTCTGAGTGCAGTCAAAGTGAGAGACACGTACAATTAGCCACATAACACCAGTCCTCATCCTAATTATGGCTTCCACAATATCCAACCAGCTTCCTATTGTAGCCTCTCTCAGTATTCCATCTCACTCTCGTCTCTCTGTCAAAAACCCAGAGCGCTTGAATATGATCCGGGCCCCGCATCACGGAGCCCATCTCCAGAGACGCCTGCGCATTCAGCCAAGACCACTGTGGCAGATCTCGCACACAGGTTAACAGGTGCAGGCGGAGACGAGGTAGCACAGGAGATGGGGACGATTATGGCTGTTGTTTTTCTCAAGCTGTATCCGCTGTGGTCATCGGAGCATGGCTTCCACTCGGATTTAAGTCAGTGTTGGGATGAAGACGGGCCGTGCGTAAATTAAGAAAGAGCACAGGAGCAGAAAACAAGCGTGCAGTGAGTGAGTGAGGTAATGCTGAGATTCACTTTGTTTTGGGGGGAAAGGAGGGGGGTGTATCGGAAACTAATATGAAGAAGGAGATCCAAACCTCTCTTGTGGAAAGCCTCAGTCAGAAAGGGTTTTTTTGTTGATTTTGTTTTCTCTGGAAATATGAAAAATTCCTCAAAAGTGTAAAAAAGTATGTCTTTAGTAAATCATTCTAGCATTAGTTGTATTGAGTTCAAAATCTGTGTATGCAACAGGGGATCCCAATATGGTGAATAGCAGAAGGTAGCAGAAGGTGAAGGTAGAAGGTGGCAGCGTAAGTATGTAACTTATATTTATATAGCGCCTTTCACAAACCAGTCACAAAGTGCTTTACAATTGTGGGCATTCGTCCACAATTGGGATTGGGGTCGCCAGTACAGGAGGCACATGCCAGATCTATTCTACTTAAGTCCTAAGTTCAGTAAGTTTCTCCGTCCTCAGCTCCATGATCTCAGACCTTTCTGCGTCATCATGAATTATAAGTATGTACAACCTGGATAATCGGACAAGTTTTGCAAAGTTGACCTTTCCAAAAACAGTATAGCACCTTCATTTGGACACTACATTTTTTATATTTGTTTTATTTCTCGTTAAAACAAACCTTCTGTCATGGCACAATGGAAGGAGGCAGAGAAGCGAGGATTTTTTTTCAGTCTTTATGCTAGGGAGTTGACAGGCAAGGTCCGGATAAGAGCTGAAGGGAAAATGCAAGTGTAGACTGGAGCTGGAGATGGAGCTGCAGACAAAAAAAACACATAGAAAC